TGATATACATATATTGGGTTTATTTTGAGGGCGTTACATGGGATATCATTGAGAATCCTGTGCTTTTTTCTAGTATGGAATGAGTTAATCATCTACATTAGTATCTTATCGAATTCCATTAGCATCACTTTTATGTGTGCTTATTTATATAGGAGTGTTTTATTGTTACAGCACTAAAATGTGTATCAATCTGGAAGTATGAAGTGTTTTGATTTGAGCTTGAGTCTCATTTGTTTGTTGATATTGGAAGAATGTGAATATGATATATATATAATTCACTGTTGTAAGTTTGGCCAGGTTCTGAGCCATGTTGATAAAGTTGGAAAGTAAAACGTATCTTAGACAATAGTGTCATGAGGCTGTAAAATGAAGTAATTGATTATTTTGGTTAACCATCTGTTGAATGCTATTGTTTTATTCATTGCTTATATGTGGTTTAGTATATTTCTACTGGGCTGTGGCTCATCCTTTATGGGAACATCATTTTCAGGTTCAGGTGATAAACTACCTCCAAGGAATTAGCTTGGGAGGGTTTGGCTTCTGGATTGAAGAAGACTACTTTTAGTTAACTGTCTTAAATTATTAGTACATGTAAACATTCAAGCCTAGGGCTTTTCTTGTATTGAGTTAGAACTCATATTTTTGTATCCAAGTGTTGGCTTGGAAAGATGTAATGCTTTATTTTGTAATACTCTGATGAATGAATTAATAGATTATCTTCTTTAAATAATGAATGTCAATGATATATATAATGGGTTAATTTTGAGGGCGTTACACTTTCTCTCTCTAAAACACTTTCTCTCTCTAGAAGAAGAAGAAGACAATGAGGGGAATGTTGAAGATTTGAAAACCCTAATTTGATCACTTGGCTGCTTTCTCTCTCTAGAAGAAGAAGAAGACAATGAGGGGAATGTTGAAGATTTGAAAACCCTAATTTGATCACTTGGCTGTTAACATAGCAGGCAAAGTTTTTGATCTAAACGACGTCATTTTGGGGGAGCCGCAGGACGGGTCGCAGGAAATGGCGACCGACGATTCGAACTCGTCAAATACTAAGAAAAAGGATAAATTATAAATATATTTTCTGAAATTTACTTAAAATATTCATTGTAGTTCTGCAAATTACAAATGTTCTCTTTTCAGGGTTTGTCAGTTAGAAAAATTAATATATATAAAAATAAAATAAAAAATTCTTAGCTTCCCTCCAATACAACAATATAATTATCATAACTACTAATTGATATATATTATTGACACTACTAAAACTGTTAATTAACTTAAAATGGATAATTTATTACGCGATTAGAAATTTTATATGATGTAATTTTCAAAATTATAAGGAGTTGTTGAAATTTCAACAGATATATTTATAATTTGCCATAATTTAAAAAAGATTTCGATTATGTAAACTGCTAGTTGTTGAACCAGTCAATGATTTTCTGAAAATTTGGTCTGTTTGATTTTGTCTTCCAACACAAAAATAATGAAAAATTCAAAACTCTCACTGTTTTTGGATAAATTATATAAACACCTCTTAAGATGAGTGATTCTACTTATATCATTAGTTTACCTCTTTACACTCTCTATATGAGATTTCATGTGTGAAATTACTTTCAAGGACAAAAGATTAAAATTAAATATATTATATTATCCCCTTACACCCATTGCTCTTCAACCCCTAATGCTCTTCTTTCCTTCTTAGTTTTTATTCTCTGTTACACGTCTCTTTTCAAAAAGTGAGAATCATAGTATTTTGATTATATAAGAAAGCAATAGATGAAGAAACAGTGGTGAAAAATCATCAAAAAAGTGAAATGGTGAGTTTTTTTTTTAATTTTTTTTATAGGTTTTCATTTCGCTTTTTGAGAGAATTCTTCGACTTTTGTTTGGTGTGTCAAAATCGAACAAAATAAAATAGTCCAGAATCACATTGCTGAACAAAAGTTATGTCCTGTAACCCACTGTTGAATAAAAAATATATTTCCGGTAACCTAAGGCCGAACATTTTTAATTTGTTCAGTTACTTATTACCATGCATTTTCAGTTCTCTTTTATTTTTATTTTTTATTTTTACTTAAAAAGATTATGCTTCTACTCATTGCATCAATGCAAATACAATCATTCGGCTGCTGAACATCTTGCAGGACACTCATTTGCTGGTAAATTATCTAAGGAGGAAACATCATTGTTAGTTGACATGTCAAAAAGTATGGTGCGACCAAAGGAGATATTGATTACATGGAAACGAAGGGATGCCTTTAATGCGACAATAATGAAGACAATCTACAACACACGTAAAGCGATAGATGACTGGACAAATTTATTTTAGTTTGGCAACATGACACTGGAATTATCTAATTTGTATTGCAATGTGTCACGGAACATGCACTTCACAAATAGGCTCTGACTAATTTCTTGTTAAGTAAACTCATCCAATCGAACAGCAACAAATAGTTAAAAAAAATTAGTTTGTCTGGTAACATGACACTAGAGTAATTCAAATTCTTTAGCATTGTATTACCAAAAGTTATTGGTGTAAAGAGACAAAACTAAAATGATTTTGTAGAGTTTTTAGTTTAGGATTAGTTTTGATAGTATAATGGGTGTAATGAGAATCACATTTTTTTTAGGGGTGTACTGTGATGGAGTATGTAAAGCGATAAAACTAATGGTGTAAGTATAATCACTCCTTAAGATTTGCTTTTATAATGAATTCCCCCTCGATATTTGAAAAATTACACTGTAATCTTTAAATTCAAATCACATTACAATTTAAGTTCCGTTATGTTCAACTAATAGATATCAATGACATTAGCATTAAAAATTCTCACAATACCAATTTTAACATTAATAATCCAAGATTTGCTTTTATTATGAATTCTCCCTCAATATTTGAAAATTACACTAAAATTGTTAAATTCAAATCACATTACAATTTAAGTTCCGTTATGTTCAACTAATAGATATCGATGACATTAGCATTAAAAATTCTCACAATACCAATTTTAACATTAATCATCTGGCTGCTGAACATCTTGAAGGACACTCATTTGCTGGTAGATTATTTAAGGAAGAAACATCATTGTTAGTTGACATGTCAAAAAGTATGGTGCGACCAAAGCAAATGTTGATTACATTGCGACAATAATGAAGACAATCTACAATGCAAGTAAAGAGATAGATGGCTGGACAAATTTATTTTAGTTTGGCAATATGACACTGGAATAATCTAATGTATATTGCAATTTGTCACCGAACATGCACTTCACAAAAAGGATCCAACTAATTTCTTGTTAAGTAAAATCATCCAATCGAACGACAACAAATAGTTGGAAAAAATTAGTTTGTCTGGTAACATGACACTAGAGTAATTCAAATTCTTTAGCATTGTATTACCAAAAGTTATCGGTGTAAAGAGGCAAAACTGAAATGATTTTGAAGAGTTTTTAGTTTAGGATTAGCTTTGATAGTGTAATGGGTGTAATGAGAATCACATTTTTTTTAGCGGTGTAATGAGATGGAGGATGTAAAGCGATAAAACTAATGGTGTAAGTATAATCACTCCTTAAGATTTGCTTTTATTATGAATTCTTCCTTGATATTTGAAAAATTACACTGTAATCGTTAAATTCAAATCACATTACAATTTAAGTTACGTTTTGTTCAACTAATAGATATCGATGACATTAGCATTAAAAATTCTCACAATACCAATTTTAACATTAATAATCCAAGCCCAAGCTTAAACAATTCAATCCACACCTGTTGATCTCATGCATAGAGAGAGGAACAAAGAGGGGGTGAGAGACCAATGGGTAGCTTTTGGACTATGATTGGACTGGTGAGAGGGTAGGTGAAGATAAAAGGGCATGAAGAGAGTTAGAAAGAGCAAGGGTGATAGAAAATGGTGGTCCAGAAGTGAATGATCGATAATGGCTTTTATCGTTATCGACAGAAACTGGCACAAAAATTTCTTTCAAATTTTTAGAGTAAATAAGGAAAAAATTATATTTTAAAAGCGAAAATGATTATTAAAAAAAAAAAGAGTCAATTTAAAAAGAATTAATTGGTGAAAAGTTTAAGCTAAGGAGGGTATAAGACATGAGATTAAGTGAATATTTTTGTTGGTAAGAGCTCCACTTTTTGTGAAACAGTTTGGTGAGAAAATCATTTACTTGTTTTGAAGGACATTTTGTTTTTAATTTTACCTTTTAATTTATCTGTTCAAATTTTTTCCCTATCTATTCAAAAAATTTCCTATCTGTTCAAATTTTTTGACCATTTGTTCAATTTTTTTTGTCTATCTGTTGAATTTTTTTGACCTATCTGTTGAATTTTTTTCATCGATTGAGTTTTTATAATTTATATTTTTCTATTTGTTCTATTTTTTTATATGTTTAATTTCTTTTCTTTTTATCCCTATCTGTTGGAATTATATATTCAATTTTTTTATCTGTTCAAATAACACTTCAACAAGCAATCACAATCTTTGTTTATTTATCTATTGAAATAAGATGTGATGATCTGTTGAAATGGATGGAGAGAGTTGGAGGTGAGAGTTATCTATTCAAATTCTTTCTTCTCCTCATCTCTTTCTCTTTCTATTTGTGGCAATCAACGACAACAATAACAACAAAAAACAGGGGAAAAAAAGAGAAGAAAATAACGTCATCAATAACAACAACAACAAGCTAGATCCAACCAAAACAAAAATGAACAAATAACACAGATCTGTTCAAATTCAACACAAATCTGTTCAAATTCAACTTTTCCAACACAAATCTATTCAATTCACACACAGATCTACTCAATTTTGGATTTCAACACAAATCTGTGATATATATACATCTTTGATATTCATAAAACAACAAATCAAGGCAAAGAAAATTGATAGATAGAGCTTAGATAATATTCAATCCTTTGATGTATACACATATAAGCTACTATTACACGCACAAACATCGAATTCAAATTCAAACAATCGAATCAAATCTAAGAAGATGGAGATCATTGTAATGACTGCAAACATCTTAGACATCGATTGCGGACAGATCTTAGAAGTTGATCGTCATCTTAAGCATCAATCTGGTCACTGGCGAAGATCGAGAGGATGGTTTTCTTGGCCAAGTCAGCCAAACTTATTTGATATAAGAGTTTAGGCCAACCAGATCTGAGTGAGATTGACTCGGTCGAGTTGCAAATCTGAGTCGCCGAAGTATTGATCAACGACCATAGTGATGACTATGGAGAATTTCCAGGAGATGAGAGAATTGTGAAAACTGGCGATGATCTGGAGTTTGTTCCAGGCGTCAATCCGATGCTCAATGTGTTGCTGGGGATGGTGTCCGACGCCCATCGCCGCTTACAGTGACCACATGTAGACGTGCCCCGAACGTCCCGGGCTCTGCACGCAAAAATGGCGCGGGATTCCGTTTTGTCCATTGGGCTTACTACAATTCGGACTCAAATGTCACGATTCTGAATTTAATCTCACAATGTGTGATGTGAGACCGATAAATCACCAAAGAGTCCAAATCCGGCAAATCGTTTTGGAAAACTGATTTTATAAAGAAGTGCCAAACATGGACTGCTTTGTCAGATACAGAGTCACCACCTAAATATTTTATTTTTGGGGGAATTTAGAAAACCCTAACTCATGCCTAGGGCCACGTGTCCGTCATCACCAAAGTTACCTCGGCTCGGGAACTTAGGTATGATTGGGGAAGGTCATGTAATGAGAACCGCCGCTCGCCCGATCAAGGATAGCCTGTACTAAGCATGAAATCTTGTTTTTGAAAACACATGTATTCTTATTCCGGTTAATTAGCTAATCTTACTATGTGATGCGCACAATAAACAAGTATAGACTAGATCACCTAATTTGGAACAAAACATTGCATGTTCGTTTGAAAACGGTTTGAAATTTGCTACTCGCAAGTATGCTAAAACAGGTTTTTGATGAATTGTTCCAATTCAAGCAATCCAACCTTCACCCACAGGCATTCAGGCAGTTAATATCAACTAAGCAGTTAGCCTCATGGCAAGCATGCTTTCATGGCAATCAATAACACACATGCAGTACGCTAAAGCGTAAACACTCACAGTGTACTCCGAGCCAAAACAAAGAACTAGTTAGAAATCATGTATGATCCTAGTTCATGTTAAGATGGCTAATGTAACACATGCGAAATGCAACTAAGATAGGCTCGGCTATCCTTATCATGTCATGTGAAATTCAACTTGATACATGTATTCAAATAGGTATTGAAATACAGTACAGTTAGTATGATACGCCGAACCCGGTGCATGCAATACAGATGAATGGATGCACGCATGCGAAGCATAAGGTATGCTAAATGAAATATGCCCTAAAACTAACCATCATAAGCGGTTAAATAAAAGGGAGAAAGAAATAGGGATTGGAAGACATGCATCACACACGCACGCTTATTACAACAGTGTGCCCTCTCGAGGGAGGGACCGAATAAGAAGCTAACTAGCTAATCTAAACTAATTAAACTAATTATTACAACACAATTAATTAACTAATCCTAGTTAACTAATTATTACAAAACAAATTGAATAGCTAACGCATTAACTAATTAAAGTACAAACCAAAGCAAAAGCAAGCTATCTAAGCATGGCAGCTAAGGAAAGCAGTAAAACAAGAGGTTCTCGGAGGGAGAAGACTGGATGCATGCAAGCCCGGTCGCCTCGTTCGGAAATCCAATGCGATGCCCCGATTTGCCTCTGTTTTCATTTGTTCTCAGAAACTTGCACCAAGCTCCAAAAAGCTGAAACTTCACCTTGGGAGTCCTGTGGGAGGGTGGCCGACCACTTTTGGTTGTTGAAAAACTAGAAAAGTGGTCGGCCAGCTAGTTTTTCTAGCTGGCCGGCCAGTTGTTGCTGCTGAATTCTAGTTTGCTGCAACAGAGAACAAGAAAGGGCATGGCAATGTATTTGCAAGATATGTGTACACAACCACCCTCCCTATCATGTCATTAATTCAAGGGAGTGTAGTTCTCGACCCTCGGGCCACCAATCGTGCATTTCAATGCATGATGGCCGAGAGGCGAAGTTGCACAATTCAATGTAAAATGAATGCACAAGTAAACACATAAAGCCTAAAACTC